TTGAGGTCAGGGATGGTGATTCCCCCAGAAGTTCTTTTATTGTTGAGAATAGTTTTAGCTATCCTAGGATTTTTGTTGTTCCAAATGAATTTGAAAATGTCTCTTTCTAACTCTATGAAGAATTGAGTTGGAATTTTGATGGGAATTGCATTGAATTTATAGATTGCTTTTGGTAATATGGCCATGTCTACTATTTTAATCCTGCCAATCAATAAGCATGGGAGATCTTTCCATCTTCTGAGATCTTCTTTGATTTCTTTCTTCAGGGATTTGAAGTTCTTGTCATACAGATCTTTCCTTCCTTGGTTAGAGTCACACCAAGATATTTTATATTATTTGTGATTATTGTGAAGGGTATTGTTTCCCTAATTTCTTTCTCCTGCCTTTTATCCTTTGAATAGAGGAAGGCTACTGACTTGTTTGAGTTAATTTTATATCCAGCCACTTTGTTGAAGTTGTTTATCCGTTGTAGGAGCTCTCTGGTAGAATTTTTTGGGTCCCTTGTATACACTAACATATCATCTGCAAATAGTGATATCTTGACTTCCCCTTTCCAATTTGTATCCCTTTGGTCTTTTTTTATTGTCTAATTGTTCTGGCTAGAACTTCCAGTGCTATATTGAATAGGTAGGGAGAGAGTGGGCAGACTTCTCTTGTCCCTGATTTTAATGGGGTTGCTTTGGGTTTCTCCCCATTAGTTTGATGCTGGTTATTGGTTTGCTGTATATTACTTTTACTATATTTATGGATGCACCTTGAATTCCTGATCTCTCCAATACTTTTAACATGAATGGGTGGTATTTTGTCAAAGGCTTTTTCCCCATCCAATGAGATGACCATGTGATTGTTTTGAGTTTGTTTATATACTGGATTACAGTGATGGATTTCCATATATTGAAACATCCCTGCCTCCCTGGGATGAAGCCTACTTGATCATGATAGATGATCGTTTTGATGCGTTCTTGGATTCAGTTTGTGAGAATTTTATTAAGTATTCTTGCGTAGATATTCATAAGGGAAATTGGTCTGTAGTTCTCTTTCTTTGTTAGGTCTTTTGTGGTTTAGGTTTGAAGAATATTGATATTAGGTCTTCTTTAAAGATCTGATAGAAGTCTGCACTAAAACCAACTGGCCCTGGGCTTTTCTTGGTTTGGAGACTTTTAATGACTGCTGCTATTTCTTTAGGGGTTATGGAACTCTTTAGATAGTTCATCTGTTCCTGATTTAACTTTGGTACCTGGTATCTGTCTAGAAAATCATCCATTTCATCCAGGTTTTCCAGTTTTGTTGAGTATAGAATTTTGTAGTCAGATCTGTTTTTTTTTTAATTTCCACAGTTTCTGTTGTTATATCTCCCTTTTCATTCCTGATTTTGTTAATTTGGATACTGTCTCTGTGCCCTCTGGTTAGTCTGGCTAAGGGTTTGTCTATCTTGTTGATTTTCTCGAAAAACCAGCTCCTAGTTTTGTTGATTCTTTGTACAGTTATTTTTGTTTCTACTTGGTTGATTTCAGCCCTGAGTTTGCTTATTTCCTGCCCTCTACTCCTCTTGGTGTATTTGCTTCTTTTTGTTCTAGAGCTTTCAAGTGTGCTGTAAAGCTACTAGTGTATGCTCTCCCCAGTTTCTTTTTTTTTTTCTTTTAGACTTTCCCCCCTTCCCTTCTCCCAATTGCTCTGTATTCTACCCTACCCCCAACCCCTGCTCACTCCAGCCTAAAGTGGTTTTTTTTTTTATTGTATGTAAGTACACTGTAGCTGTCCTCAGACACCCATATGAGGGCATCAGATCTCATTATGGATGGTTGTGAGCCACCATTCGGTTGCTGGGATTTGAACTCATGACCTCTCAAAGAGCAGTCAGTGCTGTTAACCACTGGCCCATCTCACCAGCCTGATCTCTCTTGTTTCTTTATGGAGGCACTCAGAGCTATGAGTTTTCCACTTAATACTGCTTTCATTGTGTCCCATAAGTTTGGATATGCTGTGCTTTCATTTTCATTGAATTCTAAAAAGTTTTTAATTTCTTTATTTCTTCCCTGACCAAGTTATCATTGAGTAGATAGTTGTTCAGCTTCCACATATATGTGGGCTTTCTCTTGTTTCTGTTGTTATTGAAGACCAGTCTTAGTCCATGGTGGTCTGACAGACTTCATGAGATTGATTCAGTCTTCTTGTATCTGTTGAGGTTTGTTTTGTGTCTGAGTATATGGTCAGTTTTTGAGAAGGTACCATGAGGTACTGAAAAGGGTCAAAAATTCTGTAGATATCTGTTAAATCCATTTGGTTCATACCTTCTTTTAGTTTCACTGTGTTTCTGTTTAATTTCTGTTTCCATAATCTGTCCATTGGTAAGAGTGTGGTGTTGAAATATCCCACTATTATTGTGTGAGGTGCAATGTGTGTTTTGAGCTTTAGTAAAGTTTCTTTTACAAATGTGGGTATCCTCGCATTTGAGGCATTGATGTTCAGAATTGAGAGTTCATCCTGGTGGATTTTTCCTTTGATAAGTATGTAGTGCCCTTCTCCATCTTTTTTGATATCTTTTGGCTGAAAATCTATTTTGTTAGATATTGGAATGGAGACTCCAGCTTGTTTCTTGGGACCATTTGCTTGGGAAATTTTTCCCATCCTTTTACTTTAAGGGAATGTCTGCCTTTGACTCTGAGGTGTGTTTCTTGTATGCAGCAGAATGCTGGGTCCTGCTTATGTATCCAGTCTGTCAGTCTATGTCTTTTTATTGGAGAACTGAGTTAATTGATGTTGAGAGATATTAGGGTCCAATGATCGTTGATTCCTGTTATTTTTGTTGTTAGAGTTTGAATTATGTTGGTGTGTTTCTCTTCTTTTGGGTGTGTTGTGAAAAGATTAATTTCTTGTTTTTTCTTGGGTATCGTTTCCCTCCTTTGTATTGGACTTTTTCTTCTATTATCTTCTGTGGGGATGGATTAGTGGAAAGGTATTGTTTAAATTTGGTTTTGTCTTGGAATACTTTGGTTTCTCCATCTATGGTAATTGCAAGTTTTGCCGAGTATAGTAGTCTGGGCTGGCATTTTTGTTCTGTTAGGGTTTGTATGACATCAGCCCAGGATCTTCTGGCTTTTATAGTCTCTGGTGAGAAGTCTGGTGTAATTCTGGTAGGTCTGCCTTTATATGTTACTTGACCTTTCTCTCTTACGGCTTTCAATATTCTTTCCTTGTTCTGTGCATTTGGAGTTTGATTATGTGATGAGAGGAATTTCTTTTCTGATCCCATCTGTTTGGTGTTCTGTAGGCTTCTTGTATGTTTATTAGCATTTCTTTCTTTAGGTTAGGAAAGTTTTCTTCTATAATTCGTTGAAGATGTTTAGGGCCCTTCGAGTTGGGAATCTTCACTTTCTTCTATGCCTGTTATTCTCAACTTCAGTCTTTTCATTGTGTCCTGGATTTCTTGAATGTTTTGAGATAGGAGCTTTTTGCTTTTTGTATTTTCTTTGCCTGGAATGTCGATGTCTTCCATTGTATCTTCTGCCGCTGAGATTCTAGCTCTTGAATTCTGTTGGTGATGCTTGCATCTGTGACTCCTGTTCTCTTTTCTAGGTTTTCCATCTCCAGGTCTGACTCCCTTTGAGTTTTCTTTAATGATTCTACTTCCGTTTTTAGATCCTGGTTTGTTTTTGTTCAATTCCTTCACCTGTTTTATCATGTTCTGTATTTCTTTAAGGGATTTATGTGTTTCCTCTTTAAGGGCTTCTACTTGTTTACTTGTGTTCTCCTGTCTTTCTTTAGGGGAGTTCTTTATGTCTTTCTTAAGGTCCTCTATCATCTCCTCATGAAATGAGAGTTTAGATGAGTTTTAAGGGTGTTTTGAGGGTTTTAAGGGTGTGTTGAGGTATCCAGGACTTGCTGTGGTGAGAGAACTGGGTTCTGATGTTGCCAAGTCAAATTGGTTTCTGTTGCTTACGTTCTTTTTTGTTTGTTTTGTTTTGTTTTTGTTTTTGTTTTTGTTTTTTCGAGACAGGGTTTCTCTGAATATCCCTGGCTGTCTTGTAACTCACTCTGTAGACCAGGCTGGCCTTGAACTCAGAAATCTGCCTGCCTCTGCCTCCCAAGTGCTGGGATTAAAGACGTGCACCACCACTGCCCGGCTGTTGCTTATGATCTTATGCTTGCCTCTCACCATTTGGTTATCTCTGGTGTTATCTGGCCTCCCTGTCTCTGACTGGAGCCTGTCCTTCCTGTGAGCCTGCGATCCTGTGAACCTGGGGAGTTGAGCTGCAACTGGGGTGTGGGCTGTGTGGGATCAGGTCCTGCACCAGGACTCTGCTCCCAGCCAGCAGAGGTGAGAACTGGAAGGCACTCATAGGGGCCCCTATACACCAGGTCTAGGGGCTGGGTTTAAGGTCTCACCTGTGAAGCTGGGTGTGTCTGAATACCTGGGGAGTCGAGCTGTAAGTGGTATGTGTGCTGCGTGGGATCGGGTCCAGCACCAGGTCTCCACTCCTGGCAGTCCCCGCTCCAGGCCAACACCAAAGGTAAATCTTTTTAGGGAAATTTGATCCAAAACTCTTGGGTTTAAAAATAAACTTAAAACCAAATTTTGACATCATTGCAAACCAGTTTAAGAATATAATCATTTGGAGCCAAGAAGGAAGCTTAGTAGGAGAGCATCTGCTAAGCATGTACAAGCCTTGGGGTCCATCTCCACTGCTCCCCTAAAACTGTGGAGTTATAGTTCTGTACTACTGTACATCCTTAGGAGTACTTTTCTTCAGTTCATTCCGATTTCTGCTGTGCTCTCTGGGGTACATCAAATGTTCCATCAGATTGGAGCTCTGTATATCTGTCACAGCACTTCTATTTTCTTTTCTAGACAGGGTTTCTCTGTGTATGTAGCCTTGGCTATCTTGAAACTCGCTCTGTAGACCAGGCTGGCCTCCAACTCTCAGAGATCCACCTGCCTCTGCTTTCCAAATACTGGGACTAAAAATGTGTTTGCATTTTGGGACTCTTTTTTCCTACAGCACACAGACCCTGACTGCTCAGCTGCCTATGTTGTCATAGAAACGGATTCAGAAGATAGATTCAAGGGCTATGGCATTATGCTCACTCTAGGGAAAGACCCAGAAGTTGGTGAGTTTGAAAACTCTCTTAAGTTTCCAGAATGTTTCATTTTCATGTAGATTCGATTTTTACTTTACCTTTCTCTGTATTTGCACTGCTCAAATGGAATAAAAACAATGCTTTGTAATTTGTTGCTTTGCTGGGAGAAACCAAAAAGTAACAGTATTTGGTCTTTCTCATAATTATCTCTAGTTCGCTGTAAATTTCTGAAATCGGTATCAATTTCCCTGTGTCAAAGTATAGCTAGCAGAGTATTGCCCACTGCTTTTTAACTTCAGACTGTTGTAGAGCTTTGAGGACTAAATAAGGCAAGTGGCTGAGGGTGAGGGGAGAACGGGTATGTCATAAAACGTATAAACATTTATTGTTGTATGTGCTGTGAGTCTACTCAGTTCACAGTATTTCATACCAAGCTGCTTTCCAAAAATAGCCTGGGCTGTCCTGGAACTCACTCTGGAGACCAGGCTGGCCTCAAACTCAGAATTCCGCCTGCCTCTGCCTCCCAAGTGTTGGGATTAAAGGCATGTGCCACCACTGCCCGACTGTTGTAAACTTTCTCAAAACTGGATGAGATCTCAGTGATGATATTGAACACTCCCTCATATTGTAGAGCTAGAAAACTCAGTCCAGACTGGTACTTAGCAAGCGAAGAACTGGATGTTCCAAAGCACTTTCTATCTAGGACACTGATCGGTTGATTGATTGATTGATTGATTGATTGGTTGATTGATTGCTTGATTGATCGATTGACTGAGTGATTGATTGATTGACTGACTAATTGATTGATTGATTGATTCTGTGTATGTACAGGTAGCTTGCACATGTGAGCATACATGTGGAATCCAGAGATCAATTTCAGGTATTGTTTCTTAGGTGCCGTCCACCTTGTTTTTTGAGACAGTGTTTTTCATTTGCCTGAAGTCAACAATGCCAAGACCCACCCACCTTCACCTCCGCAGCACCGGAATTCCAAGTATACTTATCACACTCAGCTTTGGTTTTTCACACGAGTTTTAGGGCTTGAACTCAGGTCCTCATTCTTGCAAGACAAGTACTAACCAACTGAGCCACCTTCCCAGTCCCTTTCTAGAACATTTAAATGCAGCCTTTTGTCTGCATTCACAACATATACACATAGTACAGCATTCAAGAAGTACAAGAAGGTCACTTTCACAAGATGAGTTCCAATAGATATTTTAAAACAAATAAGTTCACATGTGTGTGCAAATAGCAAGGGAAAATTTTTCAAGCTTTCAGTGGATACTACCAAATTTGCTCCCTTGCCATTTCTGCCACAGCACCCACAGGGCACATATTGGTCACCTTGCAAGTTAGTCTACCCTGCACGTGACTGAAGAGCTGATATGTGCGCATTCTCAGGGCATTTGAAACATAATTTTTAAAAGGAAAAGAAACAGCTGGTGAGATGGCCCAGTGGATAAAGTTGCTTGCTGCCAATTCTGACTTGAGTTCGGTTCCCATAACTTACATGACAGAAGGGATACATCCTTCTGTGGCAGGTTGTCCTCATGCCTGAGAGCCCAACTGTTAAGAGCACTTGTTCTGGCAGAGGACCTGGGTAATTATGAATACCACAGGGCAGTTTACAACCCTTTATATCTTTAAATCTGGTGTCACCTCCTGGCCTCCACAGGTACCAGGCATGTGTATGGCACACATGCATACATGCAAGCAAACACTGACAACTTAAACACATACATACATACATACATACATACATACATACATACACACACACACACGTGGGGAAAGAATAACAAACCAGAGTCCCATATAAGAAGAATGCATGAATTTACTGGGAATCAGATATAAAAGGTAAAATTAGTAATACAATGTAAAAATTACTGTTTTTTTAAAAAAAAATGTATCTAAACTGCACAGAGAAGATTTCTGTCCCTCACCAAAGGTTTGGGGAACCGAGGTGAGTCCAAAGAGTTAATAAAACCTACCTGCTGTGTAAAGAGGAGACAAGATAAGGGTTCAGCAACTCATCCCCACATCCTGCTTTCCCCTTAAGTCAAGGGTCTCCTCGAAAAGTTTCCCACAAGGTAGTGACTGCTGACCAAGGTAGATTCGTGACCTGTTGCTGACTTCTGCAACTTTAATCATGCCTGTCTGAGTGCCGGGCAGTTTACGAAGTGGCTGTCTTTCTCCATACTGCACACTATATAGCACAACCCTAGCACATTCTGTAATCCACACAGTGAGCTTATAAAACCTGGGGCAGGCCACCGAAACCACTCTGTTCGTAACAAAGGCAAGTCTTTGAACGTCACTGCCTTCACACAGTAGAGGGACCCCGAGCACTAAGACAGACAATGAGATGCTGTTCTTCTGTTGTACTAAAATGGCATTACCTGCCCTACCCACAATCCTGACAGAGGTCTTAGGGCAGGGATCTCCTTGTGATTTTGGTACATGTTCCTTTTGTACTAATGTTCTTGGCACGAACTCCATTCGTGCTTCATTCAGTCCCTGCCTTGTTTTCCCTTGACCATTTTCCACATTTTCCTGACCACATTCTGATAGAATCCATTTAAAATTTGATCTTCTGTGTATTTCATGGGACTCACTGTGAACTTGAATCAAAGAAATTTTTTATTAATTCAGCATTATTCCTATCATCTTTGTCAACCCATTTATTAAGTTATTATTTTAAGTTAACTATCGCCTCCCAAAATAAGAAAAAAAAATAGTGTGTTCCTCGTTACTAAAGAGTATGAATATGTATGTGTGACCAAGAAACAGGTAAAGCAGGTTGTATATTAATGTATAGAGTATACCAAGTCGTCTTTTTGTTGAATGTTTTTTTTTTCTCCTCAACTCATCTTGCAAGAGAAAACTCTTGGGTTTAGTCAACAAGAATCTACCTTTAACAGAGTCATAGCAACCTGTCCCCTGAACCTTCACCCAGCCAATACCCTGTTCTGAAAGATATCTGTATTCCCCCTGAACACCCACACTCCAGTGTCATCCCCTCCCCCATGTCCTGCCTTTCTGTGTTTATAACCCCTGTGTGAATGAGTAAAAATTACGATTTGAAAAAACTAAATAAATTTAAAAAAAAATCTGCCTTTAAGGCTAATTTTTGATATATGTATTTCCCCATGCTAGAGCCAAAACACCACAACCTAAATATATATTGAATACAGAAAATTTTAGTTAATTTTTACAGTACCTTCATGTCAAGGAAAATCCACATACTGCAGATGAATTTTTCACTATGGTTTGTTCCATTCACTCTTTTGAGTCATAGACATTGAGATCATCCTTAGCTTTTGTTAAATGCATTTGCTATTGTGGTGCAAGCATAGGCTGCCTTAGCCAGTGATCTATAGCAGCGACCAAAGCCACGAGGCCAGAGTTGGATGTAGATAATTAAATACCTCACTGTTAGTCACTAAATACTTCAGAGTTTTGTTCTAATACAGGAACATCAACCATCAAAGAATGAGGCGGATACTGTGTTCTTACAGTTTTATGGCATAAATATCCCAACTAGAATGATTCCATTCCATTAACAATAGCCCCTAGGGGAACCCAGAATGGCTGGTTCAGTCCTGATACATCCATCAGCAAGTGTGTAATTACTGGAAAGCCGTGTTAGTCAGAGGCCAGGCACACCTGATGTGGTGCTGCTTTCAAAACGTTTTCCTCTTAAATATTATTGACGGTAAAACTGTACCCCTGTAGCTATCCTATTAACTGACCTAAAGATTTACTGTGGAAGCAATACAACACCAAACAAAATTATCCAAGTCTTTTGTAATGAGTTAATTGCTTTGGGGGCAAGTCAATGATATGGTTAGTTTCGTCTTAGGCACATGAACTAAATGTGTCCTAGAAAGAACAAAGTCTGGAAAAGGCTTTCACTTGCACATATGAGCCAAGTGTCCTACCGGGCGTTCCCTCCTAGGACCTCTTCAAATAACTCAATGAAGCCTTTTAAAGCACCAAAAATAAATAATTTATGGTGATGCTAACCCAAATCATGCGTAACCTTCAAACTGTGTATGAAAAATGTAGTATAAGTCATGGGGGAAAGTTTAATGCTATGATGTACTTTACCATTTTATGAAAGTATACCATATGCAAGTAATTTTATCTTCAGTAGTGTATGTTGCTGTGAAGTGAATATCTTTACTTGCCAGGATTTAAAAATCGATTTAAATGCTATGTAAGTCAGACCGTTCTTATCCTTTCCAGACAGTGAATTAACAAGGTCTAGCTTTGAATCTCACTGCCCATCACATTACCCAGTAAATAGGAAAATAACTTGGGAATAATATTTAAACTTGCATGTCTATGATTTTGCTTAGCAAAATATTTTTGCTCAACTCAGTATGTAGACTTCCATCTGTTGTAGCTGTGTTCAGTTCTTAGCTATAGTAGACACAGACACATTTTAGAATTTTAGAATTTATATGGGGATTTTCTTGTATCTTTTGTTATTTTCATAAAATGTCCATTCTAATTTGCTCATCATATATTAGTGCCTCAGTTTCCTGACTGCATATTAAAACATGAACAAGAATGAAATCCTATTTTGATAGTTGTCGGTGCTGTGAATGCCCTTACCTACTACGTGCTTGACAAGGATCTCAGGGATATTGTTGGTGACTTTAGAGGCTTCTGCCGAGAGCTCACAAGTGATGAGCAGTTCAGACTGGTAAGAGATGTATTTTGTTTTGTTTTAAAAGGTGTGTGTGTCTGTCTGTCTGTCTGTCTGTCTGTCTGTCTGTCTGTCTGTGTCTGTGTGTCTCTACGTATGTATCTATATAGGCCAAAAGAGGGTGTCAGATGTTCTGGAGTTTGTAAGTCACCCGATGCAAATACTAGGAATCAAACTCCAGTTCTGATCAGCAAGTGCCCTTATCCTCTGAGCTATTTCTCCAGCTCAGGGATAATGTTTTATCGAAACATTTATGTTTATAAATGATGTTTCTACAGTCTATGATGTCCCTTGATTGTAACAAATATAAAAGTAGAGAAGGATTTTCAAGTTTTTCATAAACAATTTCATTCAGTTAAATTAAGGCTTGAGCCATCTAGATCATCAGTGTTTTGAAATAGGCAGTTCTTTTCTATGAGACTTGAATCTGAATGTATCTGGATCTCAAGAAATCTAGCTATTATATACCACACTGACCACTGTCTAGAAAAAGAGTGCAGCCAGGCCTCTGGTGGTAGTTTATGCCTATAAATCTCAGCACTTAGAATGTGATCACCATGGGTTTGAGACTATACTTGGGCTATAGAGTAAGAATCTGTTTCAAAAAGACAAAAGAAAGAGGTCTAAAAGATTAAAAAGTCCAAATGGGCAACCCTCGGTGGGGAGGGGATGTGAATAGTACTGGCATGATAGGAGTAGCTAGTAGGGTAGAAGATATTAAAGGAAAACTAAGAACGCAGAAGAGCAACATGCTTCATACACACACACACACACACACACACACACACACATATATGTCAGTATCTGAACCATAAGGTCAAAGGATGAAAAAACAAAGCACTAAAGAAAAGATTCTTACTCCAGTAATGTAGACTTTTTCCTGTCTCATGATACCAAGTTTCTCTTTGCTAACTCTATTCAATTTCCCTTCCACAAGAGAATGTACTTTCTGTTTCCTTACCGTGTGTTTTTAACTTTATGTAGAGTAAGTTAAATATGCCTTGAAAAATATTACCTTGAAGAAGCTCCCATTAGCTGAATCTGGAACGATTTGAACATGAGAATAGATATGATAATAATGTCTTATAACCCCCTTGTAGTATTAAAACCCGTGAGTCCATTCAGGTAAAGGAAAGCGCATCATCAATAGGATGCAACCTAATAAGTCTGAGGCCAATGAGGTCATGAGGAAATCACCGTACTGTAGTTGTCATTACTGTAGTCAAGTGAGCTGAGTCATAAGCAGTCCTAAAATCTGTAGCCATAGAATACTTACTTGGAAAAGAATGGTAACTCCGTAGTAAAGAAAACAAACACACACTAGCTTAAGTAGTATAATTTAATGACCCTGATTATAAGGCAAGGTATCATCATCACTTATATAATTTATGCTAATCAGCCCATATTGAGGGATACTAGACAACTCAAGGCTCTGACTCTAAAAATGTCAGTGTCTCTCAAAGAAATAAAAAGTGGTTTTAGATGAAAGAGACTAAGACACATGACAGCTAAATGCAACAAGTGGGTCCTGTCCGTATTGGACAAGTCAGGGCAAAAAGAAGCACATTGTTGTGAAAATTGGTGGCATTTGATTATGGGTCATCTTTTAGATAATATTTTATCAATATGATATTCCCTGAATTTGATCACTGAATTATGAGGACACATGTAGGAGAATAAATGCACACAAAGGTACTTATGATTACCAAAAAGAATGATATCTACAGCTTTGCTTTTAAATAGCTGAAAACAATTTAATGTGTGTAGAGAGAGAGGAAAGGGAGAGGTTGGGTTTTTTTTTGTTTGTTTGTTTCTACTTTTGCAACCTTTCTGTGGGTCAGAAACTGAATTTCCACTACTGCCAATTTTTGTGTTTGTTGTTTGTTTGTTTGTTTTTGGGACAGGGACTTCATTGTATGAGTCAGGCCTGCCTTGAACTCATCATCCTCCCACCACAGCTTCCTGGTTGCTGAGTGTAGGTGTCTGCTACCACACTGTTTTGTCTTTTAGTTCTCCAAGCATGTTCCTGGAGAAAAACCCGGATACCTTTTCTCATCTAAGACAAGCACTGTTGTGCTTTGTTTCCCAAACAGATTGGTCCAGAGAAAGACGTAGTGGGTCTGGCCGTCACAGCCATTCTGAATGCTGTGTGGGACCTGTGGGCAAAGCAGGAAGGAAAGGTAATGATTTTTATAAGCACACCTGTGGCTACCACTCAGGATACATGGCTGTCGTCAGAGATTTGTTTTGAAGCAGGACCCAAAGGGAGGAAGGGACAACCAAGGTAAAGAAGCAGTTAGGGGGAGCAGGACTCACGGGGAGCACTAGGGATGGGGTGGGGACATGAGGGATCAGGTGGGAAATGAGCCAGATGTCTGGTGGCAGCAGTCATCCTTAGTGTATTTATATCCGACAAAAATGATTGCCTTGTGTTTATTTTACAACTCCTTCCTTTTTACAATCAAGCCTTTATGGAAGCTACTTGTGGACATGGTAAGTAGAGTCTTTTAATATTATGGTTATTTCTAAAGATAATATTTTATAGATTACCTGGCTGCTTTTGATAATCAATAAGAATATTCAGGACTAGTCTGTTGATCATTGATTATAAAATTAAAAAGAAACAGAAAAAAATTATTTTTTTTCCACAATGAGCATGAACCCAAGGAAGGCCTTGCATGCTAGGCAAGCACTCTACCACTAACCTATATTCCCAGACCATAATGTCCTCTTTCTGATCATTTGAAATAGCAGATACCTGTGCTGTGCAGGTAAGCAGGTAAGGATGGGAGGTAGGAAGTTCAAGTCTTGCTTTCTTCTAAAGGGTCCTTACAACATCATCTTAAGTTCTGAGCTTTTGCTGCTTGAGAAAACTACCAGAACCATCAAGAGCCTCAGAATCAGTTTAAATATCAAATGACAGACAATAGAACATCATAGATTTTGAAAAGCCACATAACTATCACTAGGACATCTATGGCCACCTTAACTCTAAAAGCACGATTGGATCAAGTCATGGCAGTTTCTACCATGTAGTTCCTTCAGGTCAGTAGCTTGATATGGAATTCCAAAGGCTGTTTTCTTTCTTGGTGACCAATATTCGTAGCAGGAATGAACACCTGATTGTTAAGGAGGATTTTTTTTTAAATTCATTTGTGCTAGTTTAGGCTGCTAAAAGGGAGGGACCTTCAGTCCCAAGTAGACCAGACATTCAGTCCAGGCTTCATTAATAAGTAACCGAGTGACCCTGGATGTGTTGCTTGTCCACTTCGAGTGGTAGCTGACTCCAAGTGATTTCTGAGGGCCCACAAATAAAGGCTCCCACTATTATTTGACAGTAAAATGAAGGACAAACAATGAACATGGGCCTTGAAGATTTGGGGACAAGGGGGCAGATGAAGTCAAGATGCTCACAGCTTCTTTCAAACAGGCTGAGGGCATCGTGGGGCCATCTGAAGAGAAGGGTATGGAAAGGTGAGCCTTCCACATGGATATAGCTTACAGTCATGAAAAGAATTTAGAGTCCAGCAGGGCATAGTGGTGAGTGAGTATGAAGAAGTAGCCCGTGCAGCCAGTGCTCTTCAGGAAGATTAGTGCACCACTCTCCTCCTGTCGGTGGGGAGATGGCCATAGTCACTCTGGAGACCCAAGGCTGCCCTGAGTGGCCTGACTCTGAAAGCAGCCTTTCTCCACTCTGCTTTGCTGCTCCAGGGCCACCTTCATCATGTCATACTTCAGTGGAAGTTCACAATGGCAAGAAGAACAGATCCAGAGAGAGAGACTCAAAGAGGGACTCTGTTACTTTGTACTGAATGTTCACTTGGTGCTAGGCTCTGTGGCCAAGAAGTCAGGTTAATTGGAAAGAATAGGACAGAGGGAGGACGTAGAAGTCAAGACAGGAGGGATGGAGCCTCTGAGAGCTCATTAAGAACCACAGTGAATTCTAAAATGTTCACTACTAAAGAATGACTGGACCAGACAGACACCGACATCCCAAAGATCCCTTCCTAGAAAGAATATGCCCATAAGACTAGTGTAAGCATTGCCTATCATCTGCCTATGAATTGATAATGGGCCTTTCCCTTATGCCCCCAGGATCCAGAGATGCTGTTGTCCTGCATTAATTTCAGGTACGTCACTGATGTCCTGACAGAAGAGGATGCTTATGGTGAGTTAATGTGTATGTCATGGGTCTGGGAGTATCCTTGTGCTTACCAAGGGGTGAATACAACAGATGCAGACTTGTCTAAATGAGGGATTTATGCTCTCCACCCCGCCTGCTCCCCACAGAAATACTGCAGAATGGTCAACATGGTAAAAAAGAAAGAGGTACGTTGTGGGGAAATGTCCTTCTCTGTGCTATCAGTGCCTACTTTTGAACATCCCTGTCTTCTAGGGTGCACATGGTGTTCCCACACACTCTGTACTAAGTGTTAGACCCGCAGTCACACATGTAAGCCTGGGTGAAGAGGCCATCTAATGTAATGTGGCTGGAGGCTCAGTTCAGCGACCATTCAAGGAGGTTTCACTTCACGTTGCACTGTGGGATAGGGACCTTTGAAGAGCAGGGTATTCATCAAATATCCTTGTCTCTGTCACACCGGGAGGTGGACTTATGGCAGTCGGTATTAAAAGGGCAACCAGGAGGACAACTAGATATATCCTTTGGGGAACACCTTAGTCCCAGACAATTCTAATTCTGAAGTTCTCTGGAAAGTCTCAAATGTTATAAGAGCTGTGTTTTCCAGAAAAACAAATGCTGAGACATGGCTACCCAGCCTATACTACATCCTGCGCCTCACTGGGGCATTCAGACAGCACCCTGAAACAGGTAAGCTTTTAAATCCGGCTTTATAGACAAGCCCAAGCAGGAGAAACAAGCTAGTTCATGTGTGTTTCATACCACTATCATTGTACTTGGCTCTGACACTAGATAAATGTGACACACTAGTGACACACACCACTGTCCTTGGACAACAGTTTAGTCTACGAGGCCTAATCTCTTTCACTCTCCAGTCGTGCAAGTCCAGAGTCTCACCTGAGTTTCCGACCTACAGCAGCTAGAGCACAGATCTCTACAGTACAAACCGCTGAGTTTCATTATTCCCTAGAGTAACTCACAGAACCCTCGATTTACAGTCACCAGTTTATTTCAAGAGCTGTAATTTAGGAAGAGTCAGGTAAAGTGGATCCACAGGACAAAGTGTGGAGGGCTGGCAGCATGGAGCGTCCCCCAGCTACTATAACATGTTCACTAACCCTGCTTCTGGACTCTGTCCTTCTGGACTTTGCAGAGGAGTCATTGGCTTTTCATAAGCCAATTCAACCATCAACCTTTCTCTCTCTAGAAGTTTCAGGGTAGGACTAAAAGTTCCAACCCTTTGCTTATAGCTTGGTCTAACGGTGACCAACAAAGAAGGGACTGATTTTTAGGGTCACTTTATTGATATACAAATGACACTATCACTAAGGAGATTCTGTGTTTTCCATACTGTGTGCTAGGACATAATATGGGAAGGGAGACAAGGTGCAAGGGGGACAAATGCTGCCTTACATGAGAGAAAAATAAAGCTATTTTTTCACTCTGTCTTAGTAAGTCTCAAGTTCTGGAAGGTGACAGCCTAGCTTTGATTCTATACATGTATAGGCACTGTAACGCCAGCAAGCCATTTAACCATGCTGAGCCTTAGTTTTCTTTGTGTGAAGTAGAAAAATTATGGGACAGTTTTGAAGATTCAGATAAAGCTCTAAGTGTTCCACGGCTAGCACATGGTCATTTATTATTCTGACCACATATGTTTTTAAACCCAGGGCTAGGCAAGCCCTTGACAACTGATCTAGAATCCCAGCCCTGCTTTCTGATCACTTTGTATTCACCTAGAGCCAAGACAAAGGAGAAAGAGAGAGGGGAAGGCTGGCTTCTGCTTCTTACTCTTAATGTTGGTTCAATGGATGCCACAGAGAATCCTAGCTTTACAAAGAAGGGTATTCATACTGCATCATCCCTTGGAGTGTTATGACAATTAAAGGAATGTTTCCCACAGAGATAAGGAAAGAAAGCCACTTCACAACTAGAGTAATGCCATTGGCCAAACTGCTTCTATCTTTAAACAGTACATGCTTTGCTCCTCTGGTTTATAGACAACCATAATGTTTGTGACATCAAGATAAGAAACTACTGAAGTACTATCAGGCCAGGGGAGCATGGTCCATTGTACCAATATCTAATGAGAGATGCACCCCTTTCCTCACAGCTCTTGAAAGCTGCACTAAACGATGGCTGGACCAGGTAAGTTATCTATGGAACGGTGTACTTGACTTCCTAGTGAACAACACTAAAAGGCTGAATATGTGAAGAGGAGCCAAAGGCTAAATCTCACCAATAATGCCTGAAGCAACTAGTCTAGTTGCTTCAACCTAGGCTAGGCATATTCTCTCTAAAGACAAGGTGTGAGTCTACTTAGAATTCCAGAATATAACATATGGAAGAGACTTTGGAAGATGTCAGCTTCAAATACCCACTCAGTGTACAAATCACTCTGTCTCAGTGAGTCTCAAGTCCATTCTTTTTTGGCGCAAGGGATTGAACCTAGAGCATCATACTTATTAGACAATTGTTCCACTGTTGAACCCCAACCACGATCTTCACTTTAACAATACCCAACAGTTAGTCTTCATTTGTGAATCCAAATTTGAGAGGCACTGAACCCTTGTCAGTTCCTTAGCTAAATAGAGTGATACCATGAAGAAGGTATGAAAAAGGCTTTGGCAATTGATAGAATTAACGTAAACTCTTGACTTTTCCCACCATTCCTTTTCAAGGACTCTGTGTGATCCTAGGCAGATTTATCAGCCTTTCTTAAACATATGTCCTCCCTCTCTCTTGGTCCTTCTAAGAGTTGCCATTTTTGATGAGAATTATTACAAGGTAAATCTGGAGCAGATGTTCCATGAGGACTAGCCTCTACCTGACCAAGAAGAGGCTGGCTGATGAGTCAACTCTAGGAGAACAGGAAGGCTCCAGAAAGATTTCTGGACCTCAGCAAAAGAAATGTGTAGAGGCTATGGCCAACTACTTCCAGTATTCTCCAGAATCTACAAAGCATATAGTTGAAACTTCCACCTAGAGTAAAAGAGTCTCTGGGTGTTTGTTATGAGTAAGAGAAAACAAGACGGTAGACGCCTGAGTGTGTTCAGCTTTAAAAAAAAAAATGTCTCTGACTGAAATAATCACTTTCCCTCCCTCCCTTTCCCCCAGCTACTCTCCTTCAAAACTCTCTTATGCCCCCCCTTCTCAAGTTGATAGTCTCTTTTTCTTTATCACTCTTACATACATACATATGTGTGTTATTATATGTATATATACTATTATATACTGCTGAGTTCATTTTTGATGGTAATGTGTATATGACTTCAGCGTTGACCACTCTGCATTGGATAACCAATAAGGAGAGAGGCTGCTTTTCCTCTTAGTAGTCATTTGTTACCCATAGTTCTTTGTCTGGGGGGGGACCCTACAAAATTTTCCTCCTTCCATGATATTGCCTTTGTTCAGGTCTTGTTTGTGTAGTCATTTCTAGGAAAGACTTTCAGAGTAGACTTTCTGGTATTCTGCCTCTTACACTCTTTCTGCCCTTTCTTCCAAGAGGTTCCCTTAGCCATTGATGCAGGAGCTTTGATGCGCATTATCCTTTGGGGTTGGTCTCCCCATGATCTGTTGATCTCTGGATTGTGTCCATTTGTGATTTTCTTTGATGTTCTCTGTTTGCTGTAAAAATAGTCTCCTTGGATGGGGGTTAGTAACTACAATTATTACAAGATAAGGTGATTCCTGTACCTGTGTGAAGCTTTTATGAGATGAATGGTCTTCCTAGTATACAGAGAGATCGAGCACTTGGAGGAGTAGAATGCCTAGGCTCTATCCGCAGTGACACAAGCACAGCCTTGGTACTCATTAAACAGACGCTTGTGAAGAAGAAATCGGATACTGGTCCCTTGGGATGATATTCTCTTCTCTGCTAACAGTGCTCACACTGGGCCAACCATTCTCCAGCAGTCACAAGGGACATACATAGATGCCTATGTCTCAAGATATAATTGGACATCAAGGCAGATTAGGGGTTTTTTTTTGGGGGGGGGTGCTCCTTGTGAGTGGCCAAATGTGCCATGAGGGAGAACTCTATAGGACACTACAGACCACACTCTGTTGCTCCTCTTTGTGTGACCAAGTCTCTTTCCTTTTCTGGAGCCCTTCACCATAAAGAACAGATTAGTCCAACTGGGCTCACTGGAGACAAAGCTTTCTGTGCAAATAACTAGCAAATGTATGGGCCTTGTGAACTCCACTTGCCTCTTCTGTTTGGACCAGAGCCTGTTTGTTCTTACATGTTTGGCATAACAAACTTTCAGGAAGCTGTATTAGAGATGCAACTTCTCTTTCTGCTTCCTTAACTGTGGGTCAGCAGATAATTCAGAGTTGTTACCCTGATACTGAATAAAGAGATGCAGTTTGCAGTATAATCACATGACTTTTCTAAAGTTTGGGAAGAACAGAGGTTACTAGAAAACATGGTCTATGAATGATTCACAGAGACTCGCTTCTACAGGAAACCCAGGTGTTCTTGCCAAATTAGAGACCTATTTAAACTAAGTGTATTTATAGGTTTAAAGTAAAAGTTGGGGCTGATCTTCAGAATGACACACGAAGATGCCGCCTCATCAGGGACATGATTGGACCAGAGAAGACTTTGGTAAATATATTCTCAAGATATTAAGATCTGGAAGCCTGATGCATGTTTTCTGTGGTATTGTGAGTTTAAATCAGGGCTGTGTTAACACGTTAGATAAGCACTTTACCACTGAGCTATAATATTCACCCCCAGCTGGAAGTCTTTTGTTCCAACAAAGGATTAAGAACATGGACAGTTTTATAATTTATGGTGGTCTTGTGATAGGCGAACTCTTTTTAAAAGCTATTGGATTGGATCAGTTTTAGTTTTGTAATTCTACAGAGCCAATTAAGTCTGATTCGAGCAATGCTGCTAATACAGGTAAGCCTGAACAGTCTTCCATCGGCACCACCCTGGTGTGTAAATCATTAACCTCTCTTAAGCAGCTTATCCGGAGATAGGTTCTAAGCAGCCATTCTTTGGTGAAGTGCTGAGGTTTTAGCTGAGATAAATAAAAGGATTTATCATTCTTATGTGTTACAGTTTTTATTATATGTAAAATATTTTTTGTGAAGAGTCACAATCAGATTTTTTTTTTATGTTTTAATACGGCTTATTTTGTGGAGCTAAAATCAATTTTGGAGTACTTGATGTAAGATCAGAAATCTCATTATTTATGCATGAAATAGCAATGCTTTTGTTTCATGAGGTCATCCTCATTCAAATAATTTATGACAAAATTTGATCTTGAGCCTGCTCTACTGTGGTTCTCAGAGTATCCTGTAAGGAAGTCTTACCACGGAGACTATTTACAGACTCTCATGTCCTTGTCCATCTTCTGCAAGTGTAATGAGGTTGATGGCAGAAGACTGGGCCCTGTCTCAAGGTCTGCACAGTTCTCTGGCTTCCAGGTAATATGATAGTGAGGAAAAAGCCATAGCCCCAAAGGCAAGGCCTGGACTTAACCAACTTGGCCTACCAGTCTTGAGTGACTTACTTAACTTTCTCTATAAGCCAGTTTTTATTTGTAAAACAGGGTAATATAAGCTGCCTTATATAGGTTATAGTAAAAATTAAAGGGAACAAAAACCTATTAAGTGTCAAGTAGAATGAGTGTTTCATTAGTGATGTTTATTAATATGTCAGATACCTGGTGGGCAACAGACAATTTGAACAAACTCAGTGTTGACTACGCATGTGATTTGAAAGATAACAGGGGAATTGGTGAGATGGCTCAGCAGTTACAGGTATCTGCTGTCCAGCTTATGAACCTGAGTTCAGTCTCTAGGCTCATTATTGTAGAAGGAAAGAACTGACCACCACAGTGTCCCCTAACTTCCACTCACGTGTTTGCATACACATACACATGAGAGGAGACGTCCAGTACATAAGTAAAATCAGGAGCTAGGGAGATGATTCTGTGACTAAGAGCATTTTCTGCTCTTGCCGTGGACCCAGGCTCTGTTCTAATCCTCAGACCCAGCTGTAATTTTAGTTCCAGTGGATCGGATGCCCTCTTCTGGTTTCTGCTGATACCAGACACACATTATGGTAAAACACTCATACGCTTAAAATAAAAATAAAGCACTCAGTGGATCCAACTGAAGGGCTGGCAAAAAGATTAGCAAAAAGATAGTCTCTTGCTCTGATCAGATTTAATTGGCTCTATAGAATTATAAAACTAAAACTGATCAGATCCCATAGCTTTGAAAAGGGGAGTTCACCTATCACAAGACCAGCATGAATTATTAAAATGTCCATGTTCTTAATCCTTGGTTGGAACAAAAGACTTCAGGCTGGAGGTGAATGTTATAGCTCAATGGTAAAGTGCTTATCTAACGTGGACCCAGCCCAGGGCACTTGCAGACATCACAGCAGTTCTGTAAGCAATTCATACCTCTTCCCTCACGTGTGGCTCAGATCTGAAGCCAGATTTCTAATCCCAATGTCTGCACTTTGGATCCTTTTTTGAGGACTCTGGGCTAGACTCTAGCAAAAGAAATGCCAGAGGAGTCTTCCTACGCAGTAGGTTGCATTAAATTAGGGCATCTTCTCTCTGGAGCTACAGCTCTACAGAGAAACGAGAATTCTGTCCTTGCAGATGCTGGATGCCAGCGAGCGTTGGGATGTGCCTAAGGCACTGGCGTGGATGTCAAAACTAGCTGAATTCAAGCCACTGTGGATTGAGAAGCCCACATCCCAGAATGACATCACGGGCCATGCAACCATCTCTGAGGTAATAAGGCCGCTGCTTCGGCTATCTCAGCCATTTACTGTTGGTTTAGTGTTCTTGAGAGGTCAGGACAACTCCTAAAATCCTCAAAAATTCTCATGGCACCACTCCCTCATGCAAACAAAAGTCCATGTTTGCACCAAAAATAGAACCCCTCTTGCAAATGAGGAGCTAATCACAAGCCTTCTTGGGCCATAAGGGAAGTGTTCCCATTCTGTCTTGGGTGAAAATGGCTTCCGGGCCATCTAGTCTTATCTTTTATAGTGTTGCCTTCTAGAGACTGATGCAGGCTGTATGGAATACATCTTCAATCATTCATACAGTGGTCCTATCGAGCTGCTCATGTGTCCTCAAAATGATTTCCCATTTTACTCAGCTAGCCTATTAAGCAGGCCAGGGTGCCAGGAAAGTGTTTCTGTCAGTTAGGGATTCAGATTGCCTTATCCCCAACAGTTTAGCCTACTTAAATAAAAATAAAGATTCAAAGAGAGATACGTACAATAAAGGTTTATCACTAACACTAGTGTTGATTTAATAGTATTTTAGTAATGTTTAACTCCTGTTCAGTTCTCCAGGGACAGGTGGGTCTCTCCAATCTGTCTTAATATTTGGTAGACTAGGTAGGTTAAAAGTATTTTCTGCTTATGACCTTTCCACTTTATAGTATGTTTATGAAGTTCTTATCAAGATAAGGAGCACCTGTACTTTATTTGCCCAGAATAAAACAAAAAGTATAGATTCCCCCAGGGGACTCAAAAATCAGGTTTTCAAACAAGAGAGTGCCTGGCTGTTTTCTGAGAGCCTTGAAGCAATTTCACAGTAATTGGGGGCCGTCTGCATTGCCTTAAGGGTTCAGATAGATTCTCATATGTGAGGAGATCTCAGGAACTGTCAGGGTGGGTGGCTCTTGTTGCTCAGGTCCTTAGCACTGATCTTCAGAACTAGAATACCAGTTGGCTCATTTGTAAACTGAACTTCCACCCTCAGATCCAAGCCTGGTCTGTAAGAAACCAAAGGCTATAGAATTAACGGAGAAATAAAGCAAAACAGGTTATAATATTTGAATCATCAGACCACAAGAACCCATCATCTCAAAACTCTGGCACCAAGGCCTGGAGTCTTAAGCCTATCTCTCCCCCTAGCACGGGTATTGACTGACCAATTTGAGGTTTCCCTTGGGCAGACTGTTTATTCTGCTCTAGGCATTCCCCAGTTGCCCATAGTTCTCTGTCTAGTGTTGAGGTCCTGAGAGCACCCCCACTTCTATCTGTTAACGTCATTGTTTAGATCTTGTTGGGGGAGCTATATTGATTAGCCTTTCTGACATCTCTAGGAGACACAGTCTCACAGAAAACGTTTCCTCTGGCTCTTAGAATTTTTCTTCCCTAAATGTGAATCCTGAAACTGGAAAGGGAGGGAGATAAGAGGCTCATCTTCCCTAATTGAAGTCTCCTTTCCTCATTTAACTCATCTATTCCTTGCTGTTCCCTTCTCTCCTCTCCTCAACTCCATCATCTCCCTTTCTACATCCCCTTAGTTTCTACAGTCACTCTTAAGTCATATACTCACATCTGAAAACTTGGAGCTAGGAAGCACAGAGTTTGTGTGACATTTGTCATCTGGGTCTTGGTTACCTTACTCGATATGTTCCTTTCTAATTCCATCTATTTACCTGCAAATCAGGATTTTATCTTTCTTTACAGCTGTATAGTATTCCATAGTATGTATGTAGACCATTTTTATTATTATCCATTCACCAGTTTAAGTACATTTACGTTGTTTCTGTCTCCCGGCTATTGTAAATAGAGCAGCAATGAACATGGATAAGCAAATGTCTGTAGAACAGGATGATAGGTCCTTTGGGAACGTGCTGAAGAATGCTACACCTGGGTCATATGGTAGATTTGTTTTTAGCGTTTTGACAGTTATCCACAGATTCCTAGACTGGCTGGACCAGTTTGCAATTCTACCAACGATGAATGAGAGTTCGCCTTTTCTTCCATAACCTCTCCAGCACTTTTCAGTTGTCTAATTAAACTTTGCCATTCTGACTGGAAACAGGTGAAATCTCAAAGTTGTTTTGATTTTTACACATCCCTAATTGCTAGAGACAATGAATATTTTTTTGAGATTTTTTTGACATTATTTTGAGAGCTCTTCTGTTCAGATTCCAAGACCATCTTTTTTAATGAGTTATTTAGATGTATTTATTTATTTGTTCTTCATATAGTCTGTATGTCAATCCTCTGTCAGATAGATGTACAGCTAGCAGAGTCTCTAGCTATCCTGTGGATTTCCTCTTCACTAGATTGATTGTTTCTTTAGCTATGCAGAAGATTTCTAGTTTTATAAAGTCCCACTTGTCAACCATGGTCTCAGTTCCTGGGCAGATGGGGTCCTATTTGTACCTATCTCCTGAGGGTACTGCTTAGGTTTTCTTCTAGCAATTCCAGTCTCAGGTTTCACATTTAAGTCTCTGACTCATTTGGAGTTCCTTTTTTTGTGTGAGGTAATAGATATGGTCTAACTTCATTCTTGTATATGTGGACATCCAGTTTTCCCTGGACCATTTGCTGTCTTTATTCTATATTTTTGTCATTTTTATTGACAAGATATTAAATGGTTGTAGTTAAGTTTTTAAGTTCGGGTCTTCAGCTCCATCGCTTGTTCTGTATGTCTGTTTTTGTGCCAGAACAATATCCTTTCTATTATTATGGCTCTGTAGTGTATCTTGAGGTATGGAGTGGTAGTCCCTCCAGCATTGTTCTTTTTACTTGAGACTGTTATGGCTATCCGGGGGTCTTTTGTGATTCCATACGAACTTAGGGTAGTTTATTTTCTTTTCTTTGAAGAGTGAAATGGGGACTTTGATCAGGATTGAAGCTCTTAGTTTAGAGACAGTCTCACTTTGTAGCCAGGCTCATCTCAAACGTTCGATCCTCCCACTGCGGTCTCCACAGTGCTGGGCTTACAACTGCATATCACTATGTCTGGCTTCTCAGGGTTCTTTTTGCTACTGTTTCATTCATTCATTCATTCATTCATTCATTCATTCATTCATTCATTCGCGCGCACGTGTGTGTGTGTGTGTGTGTGTGTGTGTGTGTGTGTATGCAGAAGTCAGAGGACAACTACTTTACTAAATGACAGAGGGGTTCACCAGGTAAGCAGTCATCTTAGCCTTACCTATAAAGGCAGGCTATCCACAGAGCTGGAAGGAAGGACTTTGGATTTAACAAAGGCAAGAGAGACTTGAAACTTAACACTTCACGGGGTTGTTTGAGATGTAATAAGAAAATAAGTGGAGCAGTGACCCAGGGGAAGCAGAGGCAGGAACTCCATGAGTCCACAAGAACACGTTACCCAGTAGCCCTGTCCTGTTTGGAACACAGTTCAGGCCCTGGAGCATGGAGAGACCATGCTGCAGAAGCAAGTCTGCAGCCACATCCAGGAAGAGAGTAGTGGCAGCATGTGAGCGGCCCTGTGTTAACCCCCACTGTGGGTATATAACTCTCCCACGAGCACACATTGCTAGGGACATCCTCCTGGCAGGCTTTAAACTTTACAAGGCTTGACAGCAGGGATGTTTCCTTCAACTCTAAAAATATTTTTGAACATTCACAGTTGCAGTTCAAACATTGGAAAATAACACCAGGCTGCCTTCTTTTGCAGGCACTGGCCCCATTAGGAATTGGCGTTGCCATGGAAGAACAGGTGAGTGGTATACCCTTGGTATCACCTCACTGACCACTGACTGAGAGCACAGTCATGTTGCATTAGAAGTTGGGCAAGTTTTATCATTTTTAAAACTGGTGGTTCATTAGAGTCCAAAGTTTTGTGGCTTTTTCCATAATTCATGGGACTTGGGTCACTGGTTTGTTTTTGTTTTCCTCTAAGTGATTACTCAGAATTAACAAAACATCTTATTACTGCCAGGGCATACAGACCTTAACAAAGGTAGCCTCCAAATAGAATAAGTATGATATAACTCTCTTCTTGTGCTTATAAACTAAGCACTAGTGGCTGCCTATACCTGCTACAGTGAGCCCAAAGGCAGAGCGGGGTGAGGAACAGAGTTTCAGTCTTCCAGCATAGTGAATAATACCACCCTACCACTGCCCCATTTTGTTATTGTGCCGTCTGTTTGTAGCTGTCACTGTATTCCATCCTGATGAATCCTACTTCCCACTTGCACAGATGATACAACAGTAATCCCTTTATAAATGGAGAGCTGGTGTGACCTACACTTGACTCCCGTTACATCTTTACATTTGTCCCTCTGCACTGTCAGTGTCACCTCAGGCTAAGAAGGAAAAAAGAGGGAAAGAAAAAGACCAACAGAAAGACAGTCAAGGCTTCCTGAACTCTAGTTATGAGCAGGAGCTGCTGTGGAATCACGCACTGTCAAGCTTAGGGATCAGGAAGACAAACCCCAGCTCTGTTGGTGTTATGCTGAAATGTTTTAATTCTATTTCCAGTGCCACAACAGAATGATGATTAAGCAACTCCTACACAAGAAGGCCCTGCAGTTTCTCCAGATTGACAGCTGTAGACTGGGGAGCGTCAATGAAAACCTCTCAGTACTACTGATGGCCAAAAAGTTTGGAAGTAAGGATGTGGAAGCTGCGGACCAGCCCTCCACTCTGCTCCCACTGGCCTCAGAACCCTCATGGGTCTGCAGCTTACCTTCTCTCTAAATACTTATCTCTAATCAGGGTGGCTTGGCTGATTTCCATCCTGAAATCTTATCCCTAAATATTAGAAAATGATCAAGTCACCTGTAGACACTAACAAAACCTGGGGGGAGGGGGGAATCTCTCTGCATTACTTTTGCTTTTTTGTTTTTGTTTTGTTTTTCAAGACAGGGTTTCTCTGTGTAGTTCTGGCTGTCCTGGAACTCACTCTGTAGACCAGGCTGGCCTCGAACTCAGAAATCCGCCTGCCTCTGCCTCCCAAGTGCTGGGATTTGTACAGGCCACCACTGCCCGGCTCCGTTACCTTTGCCTTAAACTGAAATGCCTTCCTTCCAGTCCCTGTCTGCCCCCATGCTGGTGGAGCTGGATTCTGTGAGCTGGTACAACACTTGATTATATTTGACTATATATCAATCTCTGCCAGCCTTCAAAACAGGTCAGTAGCATTAATTCCTCTCCGGCTGCAGTAATATCCCTTGATCCTGGGCAGCTCTTTGAAAATTCTCAGGGCCAGAAATACTCAGAACCCTGTGCACTGTCAGGAGCACCAAGAATATATTTTAAATACCAGTTCCAAACGGAATAAACACGACACTATCTTTTTGCTTTTATTTTTTCCCCTTTAATTTCATGTATATGGGTGCTTTGCCTGCATCTATGTGTGTACACTGGCTCGGTGGCTGAGGTCAGAAGGCGGTGCTGGATCCCTTGGGACTTTTATTATAGACAGTTGTGAACTGCCATGTGAGTACTGGGAATCAAACCTGGGCCCTCTAGAAGAGGAGACAGTGCTTGTAACGGCTCACCCATCCCTCTAGCCCCAACAGGATTTTAAATTGGGGGAAGTGTACTTCCAGTCATTTGTACATATATGGATTGCTTATATTTTGTCTGCTGAAGCTAAACATATTACACACACACACACACACACACAACTCACTAAAGTTAAATCTTGAGACCAAATATAAGAACCTCTGTGGGTAGGGCAAACACCAAACTTAGGACTGTGGGAAAGAAATGGTGTGTCAGGGCACATCAATGCAGGGGGGGGGGGGCAGGACGGTTCACTAAGGGAGGAACCCTGGACCGCCCAACCCTAGAATGGCTACCCTTTCCTAATCTTAAAAATGGGGGTCAAGATTTTTTTTTTTTTTTTTTTCTTACAGTTAATACTGTCCAAACTGATTCTGGGATGAAAAGTAGCCTTCCTGGGTTGTTTTAGTTTCTCACTTCAGTTCTTGCTTTCTTAGAGCCCCACAGGTCCCAGTGTTAAGTCATCTAAGCATCTCTGCAGTATCCTGATGTGAGATACCTCAAACCAGTGTTGGTGCTTCATACCGGCTTTACAACTCTGAAAGGTTTATATAAAGCAAATCCCACTAGATACCAGCACCAGGTGTTGACATCCTAACCTTTCTGCTTTGTCATTTTTTTTTTCTTTTTCTTTCTTTTTTTGGAGACCCAACTGTCTCCTCCATGTAGCTGGATAGTTATCTGCACCCTGTTCCCAACACAGGAGCTATTAGCTTCTCTTGCCATTTTATTTGTGGGTTCCTGGCTGTTGTGTAACATTATTCCTGGGGAGATACAAACTTCTACTCACCCTATATAGGGAACAACTGATGACAGATTCAAGTACAGATATCATCAAAGGTCCTACTTGATGAACAAATGAGTTTTATTGATGTTACCTATAGGAATATGGATGAGGGGCTATTTATAGAATCAGAAATGACTCAAAGACGGCTGCATCACCAAAGCCCACCCAGCATGGGTGACAGCTTGCAAAGCTGGAACTTGCAACACACTGCACAGCCTGCAGGCAGCACCACAAATTGAAGAGTGTCCCTTTTGGGTGACTTGGTTGGTCTGAGCCTCTTCTACACAGCTCATCTGGTTGTTCTTTTTTGTTGTTGTTTGTTTTTTGTTTGTTTTTTCTAGGTAGTTCAGCTGGGGCTTACCTGTTTCTTCTAGGCAGCAGTCTATACTGTTTACTCTGGGATGGAAGGGCCTAGTGAATATGGTCAGTTTCAGGGGCTTCCAGAAGCTATTTTGAGTTTACTTCATCTCTTAGTGAGCATCACCACAGCATTTCCTCCCTTGTTGGTTCACTCTGTCTTAAGAAATTTCACACACAAATGGGAGGTTGTAATCTAACAACTGCCCCACACCACTGGTACAGGCTGGTACACACCCTATTATGGGCCATCATGACATCAGGTGACTAAGGAGATAGGTTAGGTTACACAACCTTTCGTGTATGGCACCTAACCACAAAACTGGACCGTGACATGCAGAATTTTAATAGCCTGACCTGACACAATTCCAAACCTGTGTTTTTCATTTAATCATCTGAACAGGCAGGAAGAACCTCATTTGGCAGTTTAATCTAGCTCACATTTGGGATTAGGAACCACAATAATCCCAGGTTTCTGCAATTTGAACTGACGTGGGGTACCACAGAACTTTCAAGGTAACTTCATAGCGTGTCTCAGCTCCTCCATTTGCACATAAACGTGCAGTAACAGCTAAGCCTTGGGGATCAAACCTAGGATTTCATCCAAGCCAAGAGTTCTGCTGACACTTAGCTACAACCCCCAGGTCTCATTGCAAAAGAGTTGTGTGTGTCTGTGTGTGTCACGCCGAGTGCAGGCACAGTTGTGGAGGGGACAACCTCAGATATTGGTCTTCACCTCCCTACCTAGTCTGAGATAAGATCTATTTGTTGCTTACCACTATGAACACTAGCTGGCTGGCCCACCCGAGCCTCCAGGGATTCTTCTACCACCACTCACTGTACGCATGCCCTGCCACACACCGATTTATATGGGTTCCTGAGATTGAATCCAGATCCTCATGCTTGCAAGGCAAAGGCTTTACCCACTGAGCCATTTCCTCGGCCCACCGTTTAAGGATACTTCTCTGTGTTCACAGTTGCTAGCTTATAAGTTCTCTAACTTCAAGCACTAACGCTCCAATTGTCTAGGATGTGTGAATACGTGGACCATCTGCACGAACACTTCAAGTATCCTGCGGTAATCAAACATGCTTCCTATCTGCCTCCCAAGGTAAGAAGAGGCCCAAGACATGTTGGAGACATGCTGCCAGAAGCCACTGTGTCCCTGAAAGAATTGATTTTTCAATAACAAATGGCTCTTTGGTAATAAATATCAATGAAGGTCAGAGTGCAGCTAGTTTTATGTCAGCTTGACACAAGCTAGATTCATTATGAAAGAGGGAGCCTCAACTGAGAAAATGTCAAGACTGGCCTGTAGGCAGATGCATTTTAATTGGTGTTGATATGGGTGGACCCAGCTTACTGGGGGACAATGTAATTCAAGATGATCTAAGGTAGACTAAGCAAGCCATGAAGAACAAGGCAGCCTCCGTTCCTGCTGATTTCCCTTGGTGACGGACTGTGACCTGAGGTGTAGGCTGACATAAATCATCTTCCCAAGGTGCTTAAGACACAGCGCTATCGTCATACTTTCAGGTGCCAGGTGCCGAGCCCTTAAAAGACATATTCCTTCCCAAAGCCAGCAGCATCTGCATATTAATGACCTGAGCCACTTATCTGGATTTTATCCAGATTACGGCTCATTTGCACCAACAGATATTAAGCTACTGAAGTTTTAGTTTCACTAACAATCCAGGTAAGTAGCCAATAAAGTAAGACCCTCCATCTTTCAAACAAACAAAAACCCTTGCATATTAAAGTTTTATTTTTAATTACATGTATGTATGTGGCTAGGTGGCTATGCTGGCCAAAGGAGGGGATCTTCTGGAACTGGAATTACAAAAGGTTGCTTGACATAGGGGCTGGGGACGACACTGGTATTTTGGAAGAGCAGCAAGCACTCTCAACTGCTGAACCATCTCTCCAGCCCCCAAACTTAATTTCTTAAATACTGATCACCTCTGGATTAGATAGATTTAACAGCATTTTTAGAAGCAGCAGAAACCAGTGTTAACATGTGTCAATCTGTCTCTGCTAGGATGCAGGCTACTCAACAGAAATGAAGGAAGAATCTGTAAAGAAATACCAATACCCAGATGGAGAAGTCTGGAGGAAACTCCTTGAAGCTCAAGATTTATGTGTTCAGATCTAACACTTTTTTCCTGAAGTGAAATGCCTTAAGTCATACTCACCTCAGGAATCATCTGTGATCATCACAGTTGATAGTTAACGAGTCAGTATTCTACTTAATTGTAAAGTGAATTTACCTAACCCAAAGTGTTCTTTAAAAATATTTATTAACTGTTATACTTTGAAGAATAAGCAATATATTTCAGAGTTTGTTGTAATAATTCCTCATTCTAACACTTGTTATAAATCAGAATAAAACTGGTTCTGCACCGCTGTGAGCAACACAAAGGACCCACTGATTTGTCCTGAAGTGGTTTAGCATCCCTTCTGTTAAGACTTCACATCCCACTGAAATTAATGGGAACAAAATCGTATTTCTTCACACTGCGAAACTTACAAAACTGTCTTAGCCAGGCACTGGAGCTCCGAGTTATAACCCTAGCATGCAGGAAGCTGGAGTTTTGCCACAAGTTTGAGGCTAGCACACTGAACTCCAGGCCAGCCAGGGCTGAAGTGTAAAACATGTCTCCCACACCAAACCTTATCGTGATGGCTAACATTACATGTACATGCCTCTAGCATGTACACCCTTAGCTAACACAGACCGTGTGTATTCTGTCCACTTTCCTTTTTGAACCAGATGCTGAAGTCCATTCTTAATCTGATCTTATAAAATTTGCTGTTCTAGCAAGATAAAAAGGTCATCAGACTAACTGCCACTTTTGCCTCTGTAATCAAACTTGCTTGCTCTACTCAAAAAGATGACTAGGACAACTGCAAAACATACATGCTAAAATGAGACCCTGTCTACACAT